ACACTCAAAAGCGACAGAAGGCAACCCTCAAGAATAGCAACTAATGATCAAGTTGCTTAAACTAGAGGGCCTTGGTACCATCCCGGGATACTGATAAGAAATAACCAGTCACTTAAAAGGAATGTACTAATGATCCCACCTTACAAAATAACAAGCATCAGATAACAGGGGTCTTAAGGACAATGTGTATGTGTGTGAGGCACGTACACCCCATGAGGTGTTCACGTGCATGATTTTGACAGGTGATCTAATGTCCGCACCATGATTGGACGAACATCGGTAAAGAGTTCCGATAACTTTGTGTACGGGACCATCCCGGGTCACGGAGACAAGGGTACGTGAGATGGGGCCATCCCGGGTCGCGGAGACGAGGGTACGGGAGATGGGGCCATCCCGGGTCGCGGAGACAAGGGTACGGGAGATGGGGCCATCCCGGGCTGCGGAGACGAGGGTACTGGAGATGGAGCCATCCCGGGTTGCGGAGACAAGGATACGGGAGATGGAAGACAGAGCTAGAAACACTAAGACTGAGAATATCAGATGGAAGATTGAAAGCTGTAAGCAAGAAGACTGAAAGCATGAAGAATCAAGCTTGTGTGCTGTAAAGACACAGTGTTGAACTCGAGATATCTACGGTGGTATTGTTCTGTTATAAGATCTGTTGATTGTACCGGCCTTTGGTCTGACCCATCGGGATATTGGGGAATAACGAACGAATAATAATAAAACAGTCAGCTATCTGGTTAAAGGAATTAGCGTTATTTCCTTACAGATTTGGCTGATTTTATTTTCTAACAACTTGGGATTCGGCGGGATACTCTGAATTAATACACTCGGCAGTTGACGTGTTTATGAGTCCGGTACGACCGTAACTAGTAAACAGTTGGGACGGTGGCCATGGTACTTGCAGAAATTAGGAGTACGGTACGACCGTAACTCGTAAATAGTTGGGACGGTGGCCGTGCCTGCGGGCAATTAACTGAGTGTATTAACCCATTGGGATTCTGAGTATTAAAGAACTAATACAATCCATTTGAGCGAGTGTCTCTTATTTGGATTTTCTAACAGTGGTAGCAGCTGGATTGCATTAACTTTATTTCTTTTAATATGGACGAAAAAGCTTCCTTTATTACATTTAAGATCTGTTCACCCATTGTAAACTGTTGTCCCCGGCCTCTTGACCAGTGAATTGCACATTGTACCTGGAAGACTAAAATTGCAGTAAGAGAATCCAAATGTGGTTAGGCTTCTTCCCTTGCATTACATCTTGTTCCATTGTACATTATTGTGTATCTGAGCCTTTGTGCATAACTTGCAGGAGTGATGAGATGCTTAATTTAAACAGTTTGTAGTAGGGGGGGATAAAAATTTGGGAGGGGAAGATCAAGTGAGACATTTTAATGAACGGTTAGACCTAGCAAGTGCATCCTCTTTTTGGTTCCCAATCTCCAATCCCTCCCCTTGTGCCGCTGAGACCCTTATTCATGCTTTCATCACGTCCAGGCTTGACAAGGCCAACTCCCTTCTCTCCAGACTTCCTAACTCTTCCCTCCACAAACTGCACATTATTCAGAACTCTGTAGCTTGTGACCTCTCCTGCACTAAGCTCCTTGAGCCTATCCCCTCCATTCTGCCCAGTACACTCTCCCAGGATCCCCAACCCCAAAGGATCGTGTTTAAGATCCTCATCATCACTTTTAAAGCCCTCCACTCAATTTCTCAAGAGCAATAATATCTCTGCTAAGATTAAATGACCAAAACAGCATATAGTTGTTCAGGTTGTTAGCACTTAGTCAGAAGATTGTGTGTTTGAGCTCTACGTCAGGACTTATGGCCTTAGCTGACATCTCAATTTCTGGCTTCTGTTAATCATAAACTACGTGGACAGAATTTTGCCAAGTAGGTTCCTCTTTGGGAGAAAAAACAAAAATTCTGTACAAATTACCATCCTGTGCATTAAGAGGTATGAAATTCTACCAGGCAGTAAGATAATTCCATGATCTATAGGCAAAAAATTTGCAACCTAAGATGAAAATTTTGCACATTCAATTTAAGACGAGGTATCAGGCTCTGCCACTGTTGAGCACTCCGAGATGCCGTCTGGCATGAAGGGTGCTACATAAATGCACGTTGTTGTGATATTTCATGCTTCTGATGTTTAGATTATTTTACTCTGGCACGCTACCCTGCGTGAGGAGTGATATATAAATCAGGTTGTTGCTGTTTTGCCTGCCTGCCAGTAATTCTACTCAATGCAATGGGAGAAGGTACCATTAATCTTGTGTAATGCATCCATACAGTTGTCAAGATTTTGAGAGGTGAATGGGTCACTGGAGAAGGGATTTATTTTCTCCTCTAAGCTCCTGTTAATCGAACTGGTCAAGCAGCGGGAGGCTTGCTCAACGGTGCTCTGAATGGCAAATTGTTGATTGCTGGTTAAACTCCAGAGTATCCCCAATCCACACTCTGCGGGATCCGAACCTTGGTTTGCAACAATCTATGCCTCATCCTCTCCAGAATTGGGTAAACAAGGTTATTCCCTCCAGGGAGAGTAGGCTTTCCATTCCAGACATGGGGAAAATTAAATGTAGGTGACATACATGGAACTCTGTCTGATTTGGATAGTCTTGACCATGGTGATGTGTTTCTGCATGTCTGAGACCTGGCTGAACAAACTGTTCAAAAGTGAAGCGTTTGTTTTAAATGTGGAGTCCTATAGCATATTGTTTCGAGCACTCGTTTCGCAAACAAGTGGACCCGGGTTCGATTCCCTGGCTGCACAAAACATTAGGCAAGTTTCCTTACTCCACACACCTCTATTTACCTAGCAGTAAGTAGGAACCCGTTTGTTAATTGTTTGGTGGATCACTTTTCTGGGGGTGGTAATCCCTTCAAAAATAAATAATTTGTTTATTTAATCCATAACTGTTTGTGGAGCACTACTGTGTGCAATTGGCTGCTGTGTTTTGCCCACAAAATATACAGTCAATTCACTTTACAGTAATTTCACTTTACTGTGAAGTGCTTTGAGATGTCTCGAAGATGTGATAAGGCACTATATCAAATGCAAGGTGATTGACAGCCTTGGAGCAACTTATGAATGGATGGGTCCAGCCATTGATGAGCAGCTCCAGCTGTCAATCAATCACAATTTGACTCCAACCATTCCCCCCCTTGTTCTTCCTCATCCTCCACCTCTTCAGCGATTGACAGCCCAAATCTACTTGTGAATGGTTGGAATCCACTGTCAATCACAGTTTGATTCCTCCAAAATCAATCCCGGAGCAGCTTATGACACAGAAGGTGCAAGTGAGTACCTTTAGTAGTGATCAGGATGGCATTTTGTCCCAATTAACTGGATTGTTGTACAAATTAAGCAACATATATAAAGCGGGTAAGAATACAAATGAATCCGGGCTGGGCATTTTGTCCAAAAACAGGTTAAAAACAGAGCAATAATACATCTTATCCGCAGATTCCAGAATCATGTACTGGCAGGTTGTAATAGACGTCTCTCATAATGCTTGAATAACATGATCAGATGTCAGCAGTCTATTTTCATGCCCATTACACCGGTGCGTGCTCAGTTCAGTGAGATGCTATTATAGTACAAGCAAAGGATTTGATTTATTTTAGTACTGCAGAAGGAAGTTATTCAGCACCTCTATTTTGTATTGCTTAATGTAATAATGTGCAGTATACTTATTCACTAAGCTCACAAGACTATTTTTAATGTTTCTCTTTATTGCGTAGTGAAAGATTGAATGCTCTGAATGCTCACTGGTGCTTCTTGTGCACAATGGGTGGAATGAGAGAAGGCTAACTGGTGTCACGTTGCTCTTATTTTTGTGAAGGCATTCTAACAACTCTGATTGAAGAAAGTTTACAGGTCATGAATTCTTAGAAACAGTCAGTTAGTTAGTTACAGAGGGGCAAATATTAGTTCCTTTCCCATCTGAAAAGGACAGTTTCTGTACCTGCCAGCTCTTAAAAAATGAATTTTTTAATTAATCAATCCTATTCTATGATTCGTCTGAGAAGAATTGTTGCTTTTGAAAAGGTACTGTTTTGACAGGAGTGATGAACCTTTCATTTTTCAGTAAGTGAATCCAGATGAGTTTGACATCATTGTGGAAAAGGCCTGAAGCTAGTCTCCTCTTAAAGCAAGCCTTCTATCTTCCTGTTCTGTATGATGGAAACCTTGCCTCTTCACACTATAATCTCATTCCGATGCAGTGGGCTTTGTTTGTAATATGCCAAGTTCAGTTTACACTTGTGAACATTCCCTTTCACAGCACAAATATTGAAGTGGCACATATTTTTCAAATATGATGGTTAGAGAGAGGCACATCACTCCATTTTCGAAAAGTTATTCTTGTTTTTCTGTAATAATTTCACAAAACATATGAATCAAAGTTTCCTTAATCTTTATAAATACTATTTGGGAGAGCGAGAAGAAATGTATGCAGATGACTAATAGGTTTAGAAATAGCCCAATAGCACACAACTTACCTAGTTCCTGACATTGTTTTCAGTCTAAAGCTGTTCACGTAATTCCAATACTCCAGTTCTATTTGGGATATGGCACAGCAATGATGAGTTGCAACTAACCTAGATTCTGATCTCTGTTCAGTAATCCACACACTTTTTTCTTTTCTCTTTTGCTTCTTTAATAATGGTTTGTACCAGAAATTCCACCCTGTGTATAAAGCATTTTTAATTTCAAACCTCTTTTTTAAAATAAAATTTGTGACCAGTAATATTCTCGTAAATATTCATTGCACCTTTTCTATTGCTTTTATATCCTTCAAGCTATGAGGAGAATGTTTACATTGAAACCAGACATGAACATGTACCATTTAGCTGGAAAGTTTATTGTGTACGTGTGAAGACTTGCTGTGCTGTGTGATCAGTTTCTGTGCTGACTGGGTCTTACGGAAGTGGGTAACCTCCTGTCACCTTGAAGTGTGACTATCTATTCTGACCCTCTCGTTTTTCAGGTACCTGAAATCATCAGTACGATCCGTCAAGCTGGTAAGATCGCCCGTCAGGAAGAGGCTCAGAGACCGGCCCACGAGTTGGATGATGCTTTCTCACAGAAGTATGAAGTGCTGTTCTGTGGCAGGGTGACCGTGGCTCACAAGAAGGCTCCGCCAGCCCTGATCGATGAGTGTATTGAAAAATTTAACCACCTCCGAACAAGCGACGACAAGGAAAGCAAAGAGTCAGCTGAGCAGAAAGGAACCGGGGGGCTGAGCGCTGGACATTCACTGCTCTCAAACTCTAAACTGCCTGGGTGCGTGGTACCAACAACAGCCAAGGGAGAAAAGAGCAACAAAGCTGTCACCAAGCTGGGTGGCCAGCATGTACCTTGCACTGCACAGTCACAAAGTCTTCTGCAGAGATGGGACTTGTGTGATGGGAGCAGCAACTCAAACTGCAGTGAGCAGGACAGCGGTGGTTCACTGGATCTCTGGAGACACAGCAGTGCCTCCGACATGGTGCAACCCACAGACATGAAGGCCAATAGGACCATGCTGTTCACGGTAATGTTCATCTGGTTTGTTTATTTTTGCTTATTATGCTGAATCCTGACCTCAAACAACATGCTAACATCACTTTAGTAGCAAGTCAGCCAACCAGTTCCTTGGTGGAATAATCTCCTCTAGTCTTACTGTGTGCATTATAAGCCTTTGAGTTTAGATGTTGGCCACATTTTGCATTGATGGTTTATGGGCAGTTAAACTAGAAATATGATTGAGGAAAGTGTAATGCTTGTACACTTTTGGAAGACTATAGGATGTTTGGTCTAATCATTTTTCCCTTTTACAACTTGGCTGTTTGAGACACGTAAAGAGTTGAGATGAGGCAATGTGGACTGCTCTTGCTGCCTATCTGGTGGCAGTTGAGGATGTTGCCTATCTGGTGGACGCTAGAGCACTCGCATCACAAGTGAGAGACCTGGGTTCGATTCCCAGCAGAGAAAAAACCTTGGGCAAGTTTCCTTATTCCGCATGCCTGATCATAATCCCTCAAGAAAAGAAACAATAATAATTTGGTCACCCAATCCACTGACTGTTTGTGGGACATTGCTGTGCACAATTGGTTGCTGCATTTCGCCCACAAATATACAGTCAATTCACTTTACAGTGTATTCTGTGAAGCGCTTTGGGACATCCTCCCGATGTAAAAAGCGCTATATCAAGTGCAAGGATTATTATTATTATTTGTGAATCAGTCCAATATGGAAACACAGCTAAGTTTTACACTTTTGTTTGTGATGAAAGTAAAGGCTATGCCTTCTGTGAACAGGCCCCAAAGTGAAGTTCAATCAAAATGACCTCTGTTTGCTTCAAATTGCCATGTGTTTACAGAGAAATAGATGCATTACATGCAGACCTTTGCGCTTGTGCAGTACAATGGGGAGGGAGCAATGAGATAAAACTATTATCACAGCTGCCTCTTGACTGGAATCTGTGCTTGCTGCTCCTGTCTGAAAGGGATTCATTGTACCACAGCAGATACATCACTATTTTTGTAGTAGGATAAGCATCCAGCTTTTCAATCTAATTATTGCCATATGAATAAGTTAATGAGCAAGATCATGCAATTCTATTCTGGGAACTGGGATGATCTCTTACCTGTGGAATCCTTCACATGTCCAGAAGATAATAGTTCTATTCCTGTCCAGAGAGTGTTGGCTGAGTATGCTAGTCAGTCAAAGGTGGAACGGAGTATATGAATCATTTGAAATCTGAACTGCTGACTTTTTTTCTGCTCTGTACAGCATTGCGTACAGTCTATTCCTTCAATACTGCATATGTTCCCAGCCACGGATATCAATCTCGTCTAATATACAGTGTACTTTGGTGATCACTGAGGTAGTGCCTTAGCCATCGAAGTTGTGGCTGCTGAGATTTTAATGCTTTTTTGCCAAAACAAGATGTTGTGCTATTTTTCCATTTACAAATGCATTTAATTTACACGAATAGTCTGTTTTTTAAACAAAATGTCAACACTAACTTCAGTACTTAATTAGAGCAGTTTCATTGAGTGAGTCAAAGAAAAAAAATAAACCTTTGTGTTTGCTTATTATTGATTTCCAGTGGCACAGATTAGATTACTTTATTGGTTTTATAACAATAATATAAATATAATAATCCTTGCATTTGATGCAGGAATTTCATATAGCTCCTATAAAACTGTTTCGAAGTGCTTCACAGATAATTTCTGTAAAGCGTAGTGAAATGCTGCAGCCAACTGGTGCACAGAATGACCCACGGCGGTGAAGTGAGTGATCAATTTATTTAACCACTTCTCCTAATGCTTTGATTGGTCCAAATTAAATACAACAGGAAGACAAATAAAAGAATGTGTTTGAAGGGCGAGTTTATGATGTGTTGGGAAATTATAAAAGGCGGAATATTTATTCTGGATAGAATCAACGGTGTACCAATGGCCAATTAGTGTCTGGAGGACCCTTGATACTTAAGACCGCATAACTTTGAACCAACAATTAAATCTTGAAACTTAGTAATGTGTAAAACCAACTGAATTATCTAATCCTGCTTTCTTGACTGAACATCTCGGCATCATTTTTAGTTTCCTCATCCACGGTGTCAGCCTGGCTGAGTTTTTAGCATTCTTCTGTTCTGAATCACAAGTTTGTGATTTCAAGCCCCCATGTCAACTTTGAACTTAATTTTTAGGCTGATACTCTGATACAGTACTTGGGGAACCCTGCTTTGTTGTTGGTGCTGTCCTTCCGATGAGACACTAAACCAAGATCTTGTCTGCCTGTACAGGTGGATAATAACAATAATTATCAATATTATTGAAATTGATATGGCGCCTTATCACATCTTCGAGACGTCTCAAAGCACTTCACAGAGTATACTGTAAACTGAATTGACTATTTTGTGGATGTTAAAGATCCCATCGCACTATTCAAAAAGAGAATTCATTCAATTCATGCCTGTTTCCACAACAATGCGGTGTCCTAATTGGGACTGGTGCTCGCCTACAAAATACATGCAGCCCTCTAGCTCACTGGTTAGAGCGCTTGCCTCGCAAGCAAGAGTCCTGGGTTTGATTCCCAGCAGGGGGAATGTTTGGACAGTTTTTCTTACTTCACACGCCTCGGTTTACCTAGCAGTAATAGGAACCCAATTGTTATCGATTGGCGGATCGCTTTTTCAGGGGTAATAATTTCTTCAAAAAAATATAATAACTTGCTCACTCAGTCCATGACTGTTTGTGGGACACTGCTGTATGCAATTAGCTGCCGCATTTCGCCCACAACATATACAATCAATTCACTTTACAGTATATTTCTGTGAAACCCTTTGAGATGTCTCAAAAACGTGATAAGGCGCTACATCAAATGCAAGGATTATTATTATTACACTGCACTGTACAGTAAATCCTGTGAAGCATTTTGTGACAGCCTCCCAATGTGAAAAATCTTGAATATTAATTGACAAAAACCTGTCATTTTGGCATTTCGCTAATGCAAGAAATAGTCTCACTTTGTCTTCTCGACCAAATAATTTTTTTCTTTTACTGGGATGTGATTTAATTGCTCTTGGGAATCTTGCTTATTGATGACCAACAAGCAATGGTTGTACGAAATCTGTGTGCCCTCTAAGTGCACCACAGAATTTGAGTTGTATTGCTCAGTGTGAATTTGATCGATCCTGCCTGATATCCACATGTGCAACTGTAGCAAGGGTCTCTGAATAGTATTAAGAGCAGGAATCTCAACTGAATTTTCTCACCTTCTTTCTCTTTCCAAAACCCAGGACACTAGGGTTAATTGGAACACCACTGTTGCCAGCGAAGGCTGACTCAGCACAGACCAGGGATCGAGCCTTGAATTAATAGTCTCTGGCTCAGTTACTCACTGAATAAACATGCTGAGTCATCAAGAGAGCACATGCAGTTTTTCTGAACTTGGGATTTCTTTTGGCAAGAAATTAAGCTCTTTAGCGAAATGCCAAAATCACAGGTTTTTGTCAATTAATATTCAAGATTTTTCTAGATTTGATTATGCAAAATAGTCCGTCCAACATGGCAGTCATTCTAAACTCAAAAGTCTATCCTTAGTCAAAGCCTATTGAATTGAGCTCATCTCTTAATCTAAGCACGGTGGTAGATGTGATGTTGCTGTGCCACAGTATTGCTGTCAGAGGGAAATAAATTCCCAAATTCATCCCTGCTGTGGTTTTGGAACTGCCACAGCTTCACAAGATGTGTTTTCGTTCTCTCATTTCTATTTATTTTCCTGTTTAGATTGGTCAGTCGGAAATTTACCTCATAAGTCCTGACACAAAGAAGGTGGCAATTGAGAAAAGCTTCAAAGAAATCTCCTTCTGTTCTCAGGTTAGTATAAAGATACTTTTTGTTGCTTTCCTCACCTACCTCTAAATGCTGAATCCAGGGCCAGAGCCAACATTACTTTATGCTTTTTGTTTTTCTGAATGTTTTTTGAAACACTCTTATACTATATTGTATTGAATGTGTTTTTGTATAAATATATACAGAATCACAGCTGAGCCAGATCCTCTCCAGACAGCCACACACCAATAGTCTTTAATCCGTGATTAGGAGCAGAAACCCTAACTTGTGTTTTCTGGATGTGAAAATGATTTTGATTCCAAGAAGAGCCTGAGATGTCTTATATCAACATTGGAGAAGTTTATTTTTATACTGTACAAAGTAAGGCAAGGCCTCTTGGATCATTCAAACTGAAGTATTGAGATGGACCTTTATTCAAGGCACCAAAGGAAGTTTATCATGGTGCGTCTGAAGTTTGTATTCAACAACAACAAGATTGCATTTATAGAGCGCCTTTCACATCGGGACAATGTCCCAAGGCGCTGGACAGTTGGGTCGGGACCCGAGCAGGGGGGGAACTGGGGAGGGAAGGGAGGGAGCGAGGAGGGGGTAGAGAGTCGAGAGGGGAGCTGAAGGCACGGTTGAAGAGAAAGGTCTTGAGACCGGCCTTGAAGGAGGAAAGGGAGGAGGCGGCGAAGGCACTGGGGAATAGAGTTTCAGAGCTTCGGGGCCGAGAGGCTGAAAGCCCGGCCATCGATGTTAGGGATGTGGATCAGACCGGAGCCATTCACATGACAAAAGCAGAATAGTTAATTTCAAATCTGTGATAATCGTTAATAATTGACCATCGTAATGTAAAACTGACTTAATTAACCATGAAATGTCTCCATGAACGCAGCAACCACAAATTAAATGGCAACTAGTCACGTATTTGACTTCAGTCAGCAACGCATTTCATTGTCCATATCTGGTTTATTTGATCTCCCGTGAATAAGAATCTAATCAATATGTTCCTTGTGGGCACTCAGCAAGACAATGTGTGAATGATGTACGTGAAATCTGGTTTTACAAAATATGCTATTGTCCAGTAATGTCACTTGTAGCCTTGGGGTTGTAGTTTGCTTCACAATTAATTGAGCACTGGAATTTCCTCTTTATGTTGGGTATAAAATTTCACAATTCAAGAGTCAGTGAAACAATATTCATATGTAGATGATTCATGTTAACTGGCTGTTAACAAGACTGTGATGTGAATACTGATGATTTGAGGAGCTACTTATTATTGCCTAAATTCATTCTCCTTAGCTTCCAGAGTAATTTTCTGGTCGAAGTTTAAAATAATTTGCATCAAATGTATGACTTCAAATATTTGGTACAGTTATGACTGTATGATTATTTATAATGGACAAGCAAAGGGTCATTTGTAGTAATGCATAAATTATACCACAAAATTGTAGTCTAAAATCTTGTGAAGGTTTGATTTATGTCCTAGATTGTACAGTAACCTTGCTTCTTCTGTCTGCCCTGTGATCCTGTCATTAGGTGGACGTCAAAGATCCCATGGCACAATTAAAAGTGTTACTTCCAGTGACCTTGTTAACAATTCCCCAGATTAAATAAGTCATTCATTTCATGGCTGTTTGTGGAACATTTCTGTGCGCAAATTTGGCTTCCACTGTTGTCTACAAAATACATAGTCACTACACTTTACAGTAAAATCCTGTGAACAACTTTTATTATCCAAACCAAACAGAGTTTCATGAATCCCACTAAATGTGGGAATTCCCAGAGTATTGGAATGGAATGCGCACTCGGTCCCTGGAGTTCTCTAGGTCCATTTCCAATGCTGCGTACCAAGTTTACTCAGCGCCAGCTGCTTAGACGATCATTTCTTTAATAGAAAATTATGACAAACTATACAGGATTAATGTAATCAGTGCAACTGAATCCTTCCTCCTCTCCACAGGGAATTAAGCACGTGGATCACTTTGGATTTATCTGCAGGGAGAATCCAGACACTGGGAGCTGCCATTTTGTCTGTTATGTGTTCCAATGTACAAATGAGGCCTTGGTAAGTAAAATGCCAAACAGGATATGTTGAGGCGTCAAGGATAAGCGAAAATTGCCAAATCCAAACAGTCTAGGAATATCAGTCCCATTGTTTTTCTTTAAATTTTCAAGTACAATTGAAGATTAAACAGCTGGCAATGTTGAGATAGACTACATGACCACATTGAAAAGGGAATTGAATAGCTATTTAATTGAAAGAATTGCATAGAATTCTTTATTCACTTTGAGTTACTCATGGACCTCATTAGTCTTTTTCAGTCTTGAATGTTGCGGTGTGATTAAATCCCATTCTGGTGCTGCCCACTGTGGTATTTCAGTGGTGCAACAACATGCATTGCGTGTGATTATAAATAAATTCCTTACAGTCTTGTACCAGACATTGTTACTACAGGCTGGGTTGTCTGTGTGAGTTATAAGGTCTCCGAGACACTGCCCACGTGAAGAACATGATAAATGCGAGTTGTTGTTGATGTATTCTTCAGTATGAAGCTTCACTGTACTTGATTTGTAAAGTGGTTCAGTGGTTAATGAAGTTTAATGGTTCTGCAGCTCTTCCATGTATTCATATTGAATATTAAACTAGTTATACTGTATACCGGGTCATAAATATAAGTACATGCAAATTGTACACATTTTAGACAATATTATGTTTTAGTTTTGAACCTTTCACATGGCCGGCTTTTAAAGATGTACCCAAAACATTAACTTATTTTTCCAATTTTGCCTTATCTGCTGTGGGTTTCTAACATTCAGTTTTTCTTTGTGCAAACAGCTGCACAGTATATGCTGTGGGTTTCAGTCCTGAGGTCATGACAATTGTGGCTAACTGGAAGCAATGAGTTTATGATAAGAGGCTGTTGCAATGTTGTAACAATTGAACATTCAAGCGACTTGTTGAAACGGGTTGAGTTTCACAAGTGTGTTAAGGAAGGAAACACCTAGGCTTCTCCAGTATTGTTGTCTGGTAATTTTCTGTGACCTTCCATTACATTCTGAGGTCTAATTTGCAGTATTTCTTAATTGGAATAGTGTGAGCCTAGCTCAGTGGTAGCACTCTGACCTCTACGTCAAGGTTGTGGGTTCAAGCCCCATGTCAGCACTTGGAATCACATAGTCTAAGCCACGGTGGTCCAATAGGCCTCCTCCAGGCCGCATCTGTCCCAGTGGATGATTTCATCTGCACCAAGACCTGCGTGTGTGTGTCAGGAAGCCTGAGCTGAGGGGAAGGCAAGTGGGTCTTCTTGTCCACCGTTTCCTTACCAACCGCTGCCTCCTGCCACTGTCAGTGAACCAACCTGCGTGACCCAGAGTGCGGCAAGTATTGTTTAGCTTCTGCAGCTGACATGTGGTCATTCTTGACTGGGGAATGGTTGATCATGAAAGTCAGCGGCTAGTGTATGGGTGTGTGGGGGGGTGTGTGGCGAGAGGGAAGAAAGAGGCAAATGTTATGTGTCTCAGCAGGGACCTCCGTCTTCTAATAGTCAAATTAAAAATAGAAATGTGGGCTATTCTGATTTGAAATGTTTTTCTTTCTCCCAGTTACTCGAATCAATGCAAAGTTGCATAGTTTAGACCTACCCCGCACCCACTGAGGAAGATCTTGGGGGGGTTCTGCTCAGTTTTACATTGAAATCCAACAAACTGTTCTTTTGGCAGGTCGATGACATCATGCTGACCCTGAGGCAAGCATTCACTGCAGCGGCAATCCATCAAAACGTCAGGATCCAACTATGTGAGAGCTGCCCAATGAACTGCCTTCACAAGCTCTGTGAAAGGATAGAAGGTAAGGATTAAAAGCCAGCTCTGTTTTACATTTGTCGTCCTGACATGAACATAGGACAGGCGGTACATCTTCATCCAAACTGATCTTGATTACTAAATGAGGATGATAATAATAATAATACTAATCCTTGCATTTGATACAGCACCTTATCACGTTTGCGGGATGTCTCAAAGCGTTTTACAGAATATACTGTAAAGTGGAGTGACTGTATAGCTTGTGCGCAAAACGCGGCAGCCAATGTCGCACAAACAGTCGTGGGTTAAGTGATCAAGTTATTGTGATTTTAATGTACAATATACACCCTGCAGCCTCCTGTGAATCAACTACAACATCGAACTTTGGTTATCTCTCATGCTTTCCCTCCCATTCCACCCCCAAAAAAGTTGAAGTTGGATCTGCCTGATTGAACACATTTGCAATACAGATGGATTTAATCTGTGGATACAGGAGATTTTTGATGAGTTGGGCTGTATCGGGGTAACTGTCAGTAGGAAAAAAAAATGGGTCTCAATGTTGAGTTTGCTGTAACTGGAGGGATCGTAATAACTAGAGATCATTATACAGATGCTGCAGAGTGACTAATGATGCCTCAATCCTTTTTATACCCCCCTTCACCCCACAAACTAATTCATTTGTAAATCGAAGTTGAATTAAGTTCAGACAATGTACTTCCATCTGTTAAGTACTCCTTCTTTTTCTCGTTTCACAAGGTTTCTCCCCTTCAAAGGCAAAATTGGAAATTCAGAAACATTTGTCAACTTTTAGCAACCCGGATCAAGCCTCAATATTCGAAGATGTTCAGGTAACGAAATAAAAGCTTTTAGACCAAAGTAATAGAATTTTGGTCAAATTAGTCCTTGTTAAGATGAAGAGAGGCAGTATGCAAATTATGATTTTACTTCTTATAACCGGAATTTCAATCAGTAAACTACAAGTGTAGTCGAAACTATAGTTCTAACAATAAAAAACAAAATTAGTATACGCTGCTTTGTCACCTTAGGCATTTTTCATTGTAGCCAAGCAGGAGACTGTTCAGAGCCTACAAAAAGGAAAAATTCACTTTCTGTTCAAGGCCCATTTTTGGTAACAATTAATCGGGAGTGATGGAAGAGCTCTCAACTTGAATTTGGTTCACAACTGGACCTCATTTGCCATATTTACAAACTGGTGTCAAAGTACTTATTGCGACTTCCATTTGTGAATATTGAAAGCTGTCTAATCTTAGTGAATTGTGATTTCAGAAAGGTGCAGAGAGGAAACAATCTCACTAAATAGATAGGTTTCAATATTCACAACTAGAAGACACAATTAGTGTTAGAATCCAGTTTGTGAAAATTACTAATTAGGCACGGATAGGTATAATTCATTCAATATTCTCATATCTTTGGATTTTGCATTTTTTTTTAAATATTGTGCATGTTCAAACTCTGAAGACATTAGTTTGTTTTCTGTCTTGAAGTTGGAAAAACATAAAATGCCTTTCAAGGGTAGGATAAGTGATTTTAGTAGGATGTGAAATTGTATTGCTTGACTTAAAAATGTGTTCAGTTTTTATTCACAAAGAACCAATTGATACATTGCCTAACTTTCCGACTGCTTTTAAGTCACGGTTTTTCATCTGCAGTAAATACTATAGTTAGATTTCAGGCTTCTCTGGTATTTGTATGCAGGTTTACATAAGTCAAATGTGAATTGGTAAAAAGGACAAATAGTGCAGAGTCTTTCAATCTTAATCTAAGATTTAAAATTGCTGTCCTTTGTGTATTTGACCAACCAATAAAAAAATGTTTTAATGTCCAGTATTGGGTAGGGACAGATATGTGGGCAATCATACTGTAAGCTACACAGTTTGATTTGCATCAAGCAAGAGAATAATATAGTGTACAAAATTACATTTGTATAGTGCCTTTCAGATCGGGAGGATGTCCCAATTAATCTAGTTTGTATTAACAATTCTGATCACAAACTCAAAATATGAACTGTCCAATCAGGTCAAATACCACCTTTCCATGTTAGTCACGTATTGGTGCTTGTAATTTGTTTCAGGATTGTTTCCTTCCAAATACAGTATTTGGCCATAGGTTGACAAAACAAATCATTCCTTATAAAATATTTAGAAAGATCGACTGTGCCTTTGGTGACCCTCCAACCCCTACCCTTCCTGTACTCCACCCTTCCTGATCCGAATCCTGATTGTCCATGTCTTGGGAAATCTTACCTGACGTAAAAGGCGCTATACAAACAGTTGTTGTTGTTGACTTATGTAGAACTAAATGACAGGAATCTTGTGAAGTGGATTCACTGCTGCCACCTATGGGATATTTGGTTACATTGCATCTGATATAAAGAAAATACTGCAAATGATTGAGGACGGCAGAGTTCTGCACTGGATGTTCTCTCCCTATTGAGAGATTAAGACCAAAACAAAACTTCTCTTGAGATTAAGACATTTGGGATCTGAAATTATATGTTTTCATTTAAGCACTAATGAGCTGATTCCATCGATTTGTCCAGTTAGGAACCGTATAATCATTGGTGTGCCGGCTGGCAAAAAATTATTAGAACCAAAGTGGTAAGAATCAAAGCCCTAGTAACTTGTCTACCTCTTGAAGTCCCATCAATTTGTGAACATGCTAGAAAATCGAGCTTAGAACTGAGTAGGTCAGAAATTAGATCAGAAAACAGTGCTGTAAAAATGTGCTCAGAAGTACATTGACGAAGGAATCAACTAAGGTGTTTAAAAGAAAATAGATACTTGAGAAGTAAGGGTAATAGGGAAAATGCAGGGAAATGCGAATAAAATATCTGCCTTGGTCCTATACATGATGGAATAGATGTAATGGGTTAAGTGGCCTCCACCTTTTCTAAATCAACCAGTAATACCAACAATACTTTGTTCCTGGTTTGGTTTGCAGATTGAGATGCCATATAATCTTGGCTCAACTCAAATCTCCCTGTGATGGGCATGTCATCTCTCAGCCGAGAAGCTCTTAATTCCTTCCCTCACCTACTGGTTACTGTGTAGCTTCGGGAGCAGAATCATAAACAAAAATTGCCAAATCAGGTAAAGGGGCATGCTTCGTAGGAAAATACACCAAGGCATTGTGTGGCATTGAGCAACGCAGATCTGGGACTTCTGTGTTTACTCCCTGGTGCACTGTTTGCTGATTTAAGATGGGCTAGTAATAACAGATCCTTGGAAAGACTGCATGATTTGCCCAATTAGATGAGCTAATTTCCAACTTGGTTTTTATATGAATGTTTGTGTCTTTTCAAACGATGTTTCCCCATCGGCACATGCCTCTTTGATCCTGGTCTGATCTGCTTTTTTGGCCAGCAAAGTGAGCACTTTCTCCTTAGAGTGATGCACCCCACTTATCAAATTCTGGAGAGAAGTTTGGTACACATTGGTAAGAGTCAGCGCTTGGGGATTTCGGAGCGTGCACTCCAAGTGTTTAACCTCTAAACAAATGCTCGCTTACAGAAAATGAAGCCAAAAAATGAACAAGAAGAAAACGAGCTAGTTCTATCGATGCTGAGACAGCTGTATGAGGAGCAACAGAAACTGCACAACCACAATGGAGATGCAAAGCAGGTCAAAAAATGCTCCTTGCATTCGATTATTGCTTTGTACAAATATATTGTCTTTTTTTGTGGTGGAATTGTTCTAAAATGAAAAATAGCAGTATTATTTGTGTAGTGTAACACATTTGATCAATTCTTTCATTTATTACAGCATGATGTTCATTACATAATGTTTGACATAAGCTGCTGAGGATTCATAGGGGGTTTAATTTGTGGTTTGCATAAACAACCCAGAGACAACATTGTCAGGTGGCTATTGAAGCTGATTCAATAGAATTGTTTAAAAGGGGAACCATTCTATTGTTCCCCATATTTCTTAATGTAAAAACATTCAGGGATGTGGAGAAAAGCTGCAAGGTGGGATTTATAAGAAAGGTCACCTCAGAGACACCCACTAAAGTGGTCAACTTGCTAATGTGGACGTTTTTTCCAATCACTTCCATTTGCACATTATAGTTAGAGTTTCTGATTTTCAGGGTTAATTGTTTTAGAAATATTCGGACCATCTATGTAGATGTCCAAAAATGGGTGTTTTTCATGGATTTTGCTTTTAAGCTTTGCATCCTTGTTATTGAACCCCTGGTTTAGCATTTAATACATGTAACATTCCCTGGCACTAGACCTATATTATTTACAACACTTTTACCATTCTAAATTTATATGCTAACACCAGATTGCACCAATGCCCCTATAAATTCATCCAGAACATCAATCCCCTAATTTCTTTTTCTTTTAAGCCTTTCCATAGTTTCATTATATAACAACTGATTTGTAGCACTAGAGGCACTTGGTTCTGAAGGTGTATTTTTCAGGTGTATATGGGTTACTCAACCAGAATTACAGAACTGCAGATGTTCGCTAATTCTGGTAGAAGTTGTTCCTGCCACAATATGTATTGTAAGTCTACAGTACCTTCTATAGAAATGCAGGAATTTGCCACCACTCAAGCCAAGGATCAGGGACGTCGCAGGAAAGGGATGAGAAATCAACTTGAATTGAGGAACTACTTCTAGGGTTCATTGGACACGTACAGATTTCATTTTTTTTGTATAAGGAGTATTTAATGGGGGTTATTGGTTAAAACTGAATCAGAAGCCCTATTTATAGTATATTGTATCGTAATAGAAACTCCTTTAGGCCGCCACCTCACGTCCTGTTCAGTTGGTCACTGATCGATGTTCCTAACTGCTATTCATCAATGGAGAGGTCGGCCAGAGTGTGTGCAGCACCTTCATGATGTGTAATCAAAATAGCAAACCGCACTGAAGTATTTTAGGACTATTCCCCCTGGATGAGGCACTGTATTAGTGGATCATGCAGCAGCATGAGTTGCTTCCATGAACGTGGGAGGAAAAAGAAAACAACCCAATTCTGATTTGAAACTGCAGATATTTCAGGCCTCTGAAGGAGTAATGCAAGTGCAAATGGTTTCAATAGTTTATTTAAGCACTAATGCACAGGACATATGGGTATGATGGAAATAAACACATGTATGTGTTGTACTGTTTGTATCTTTAAGTCATCACTCACTAATGTGGTCAAAATGGCTTAGTGCATTTACTGACCTTATTTGTGAATTTCCAGTATCATTTAAATTTTTTAGAAGCAATTTAGACAAACAATTAAGAGTGGCACAGATTCCACGGGATGCCTTCTGTGCAGAACATTTTCTCACAATGCATTCTGTAAATTAGAAACCAGTGATTCTAATTTCTCTGCAGCTTAGATCGAGCCTCCTGTAATGAACATCATGCTGTATTGAGTGAAAGAATTTGTCAGGAAAAGGCATTTGGCTAAAATTTGTAGTATTCCTCAGCATATTTAAGAAATACTGCAAATGTTACCCCATTGTGACTCTTCAACTGTGTCCTGTTTTTGCCTGCCATCAAAGTTATGCTTTTTTGTTTTCCTATTTAGACTTCTCAAAATCCGACTCAGAATTCAACCCTGAATGAACAACAGAGTCTTTCTCTCTCTGGCCGCTTTAGATTGGACCATTTTAAAATCAGAGCTAAAAAATCCTTCACTGAATCGCTGGAGAATATTTTATCAAGGGTGAGTATTCGTTTCTCTCTGACAACCTGGAGTCCTGTAGCTCAGTGGTTAGAACACTCGCCTTGCAAGCAAGACACCTGAGTTCAATTCCAGGCAGGGACAAACCTTGGGCAAGTTTCCTTACTCCAAAAAAAAAACCAATAATAAATTGGTCATTTTCAGTCCATGACTGTTTGTGGGACACTGCTGTGCACAATTGGCTGCCGCATTTCGCCCACAAATATACGGTCAATTCACTTTACAGTCTGTTCTGTGAAGCGCTTTGAGACGTCAAGAAGATGTGAAAAGCGCTATATCAAATGCAAGGATTATTATATTATAACTTACTCACTGTATTGGTGTCAATCTAGGAGTCGAATAAATTATCCTTGCATTTGATATTGGGCCTTTCACCCACAAAATATACAGTCAATTCATTTTACAAAATATTCTGTGACGCTCTTTGAGACATCTGAACGACGTGATGAAGCACAATATCAAATGCAAGGAATGTTATTTCATGTCAGGAGGTGGTCTCAAAGAGCATCATAGGCTTTAATGCAAGGTCAGTGACGACCTTTGTCGGCGAACATGACAGCCAATTTATACACAGGAATGTCTCGCATATAGACAAGATCAGGAGTGTCTCTTATAGGAGCCAGTTCAGCTTACTGAATTTATAGTTGAAAGCAGAATCCCTCTGTAAGCTCTTTAAATATCCATGGACCACTTTAAGAAAAAGTGAATAGTGCCATCTGTCTAAATCTACATCATCAGCAACTCTTGCAAATATAACATTAAAATGCGTTGAACTCATTTGGAAAACAAAAAAAGATTCTGTTATGAAGGAGTGATATATCAGGAATTGGGGCTCATTGTGTTGATCCAGTTATGCACTTGTTAGTGTCCTTAGTAACCTCAAACACATACACACAGGCGTCAATTTTATTGAAAGCCTTCAATATTAGCAGTAGAGGTGACAGCTGTTTTCTCCCATATTTTGACACATTGGAACAATAATAATAATCCTGCACTTGATATACACCTTATCACTTCTTTGAGTTGCCTAGAAGCGCTTTACAGAATATACTGTAAAGTGAATTGGCTGTATATTTTGTGGGCGAAACACAGCAGCAAATTGTGCACAGCAGTGTCCCACAAACAATCGTGGATTGAATGACTTTTTTTTGAAGGAATTATTACCCCGGAAAAGCGAACCGCCAATCGACTGACAACCGGGTTCCTACTTACTGCTAGGTAAACTGAGGTATGTAGAGTAAGGAAACTTGTCCAACATTTCACCCTGCCGGGAATCAAACCAGGTCTCTCACTTGCAAGGCAAGTGCTCTAACCACTGAGCTACAGGACTCCACACGCTACTCCTCAGAGGGCGCACATTTTAGAAAGATAAAATAGCGAATGCAATTTTCTCCAAGTATTTTTGGAACACCAGGTTTCCTGTGAGTAACTTTCTAATCTTTTTTGTGCTGCAGGGAGGGTCTAAATTCAAGACCCATTGGAGCGCAGAGAGTTCAGACTTGGAAGAAATCTCTTTTAATAAAACCTCTTTGAGCCTCTCAAGTTCAAACTTTTTCAAGGTGAGTCAACTACCAGCGCTTGCTGTAAATGTAATCTAGAAAATATGGCTTTCCCTGTAATATCTGTACACCTGTCCTGGCTTTCCAATGTGGGTTTGCAGGTGATTATGAAATGTAGGTTTTTGCATTAAGGAAATTGTACTTTTTCGAATGCAATCTAGTCCACTATCACATATGATTTCATATGTTGCTGTGTTTACACTATAGAATTCTAGGAGGGATATAGTCTGGCTCTAGAATGGAGTTTTTGTATAATTAATGGGTATGGGTTTCATAACTGTATGACAGCTACATTGTGACAAATTTGGTTATTAGTAATCGCACAGAATCCAAGTCAAGTCTCCCTTTCAATAAGCAGATGTAAGTTACGCTGGCCTGGGGGCAACTTCACTGTGGAAGTAAATCCCATTGGAGCAGAGAATCCTGCATGTTCACAGTGTGATATACGTCCGAGTACCAGAAAGGATTTTTTTGTTACTCCTATTACAAATCGTCAATTTTAATTTATACTAAATAATAAAAAATAATCCTTGCATTTGATATAGAGCGCTTCACATCGGGAAGTCATCTCAACATGCTCAAAATGTCAAGACTGTAATTTTTAGGTGAAAGTGGCAGCCAATATTTGAATGACTATGTCTTACAAATGGGCATGAAGTGAGAGATCATTTTATTTAGGGATTTGATGGTCAGGAAACCAAAAAAAACTTCCTTCTCTTTTCGAGTATAGGATCTCTAACATCTGAATAGGTGGTCGGGATCTCTTCTTGTCCAAAGGACTACACCTCTAGCACTGCATTGAAGTGTCAGCCTGGACTGTGAGTTCAGAATCCCAATTTGGGGCTTAAACCCACAACCTTCTGACTCTAAAGTGTGAGTGTTGGCAACTGAGCCAAGCTGATTACGGTGTAAAATCAGCTCTGTGCTGGAGAAAAGCATGTACATGGGGAGGAACCCATTGAATGTTCTGCAAAGCTGAATTGGATATTAAATCTCATTGTTCCTGTTCTTTCATATAGGCTGCATCTCCGGATGAAAGCGATGTCCTGCCACCTCCAATGAGCCCTCTGAAGTCTCATGGTTCCACTGGGGATCTGCTGAAAGCCCTGGACAAGAGCGATGAATTGACTCCATTACCATTCAGGCGGCGAGCCAGTACTTTCAGTTACATGCCCTCCAGTGTTGAACAGCAACAACACTCCCAGGAAGAAACCCCGTCTTATCCAAAGCCCAAATTAATGAGGCATCACTCAGTGAGCACAGACACTCCGCAAAGGTAAGATCCTTGAATGTTTCAGAGCAGCAAAATATTGTAGGTTCATAATCCACATAATGTTTTTTATTGAGATCTTGCATGTGGCGTCAATGTTACTTATGGAAGTGAGTCCCCTTGCCAAAGAGGTCTTTTCTATTATTTATAGATAAATGATACAACAAAGAGCCTGTAGCCATTCCGTCAGTTTACTATCCCAGTGTTAGAGAGAGGGAAAAACTATAGTAGAGCCTTGTTACAACGGAGGGTCAGGTATAATGCCAATGCCCTGTGGACCCATGGCTTACCTCCCACATGCTATCCAATCGTTGCCAACATTTCCAGTGCACTGCACTGCATGTGTAAAATGTGCGAAAAGTGATGGCAGCAATCAGAAGGCTTGAAAGTTGCCCATTTTCAGCACCCAGCAAGCTGGCTGGCTTTCTGTCACATGTGCAGTGTCGCCACTCGTTGTGTGACTGTGAGTTGGAATTACTGACAAGCAATCTTGCTCTGTTTTGAGGCTGGTTGGGATTTTACAGCCCGTCCTCAACTATTATGCTCTAATGGGGTTCTGCTGTGTTAGGAATAACTTGATAGAGTTGGGAATTTTCAGCACTGAAAAGAGGTGTCTGAGGGACCTATTATATGAGGTATGTGTGGTGCTAAATCGGAAGTGAAAATTAACCCCAAACTGTCTGATATGCTAAGGCAGCAGGACAAGAGGGCCAAGATGCAGTGTTGCAAATGACAATATTGGGACGTGCACTTCATTACACACATTTCATTACACACAGGATAATTAACAGTTGCAATAGGTTTTAAGACAGGGTCCTAGGGAACCAGTGTACATATCCCATATAATGCTATAATGGCAAATTGTTCGATATTCTGGAAGGAGAAGGTCAAATAAGCCAAAAGACTTTCAACCAGGCTTCTCTTCTAAATTGATAGGTTTAAATCTCCAGCGATTTTGGTTTCGCCGAAACATTTCTTGTCTCCACGCAGACCTCTTGTTTTCTGCCAGCTGCATTAGTTCATTTTGCATAATCAACTTATTCTGCATTAAATTTCCCATTCTAGTTTTCCCAAATGGCATTGTGGGTGTAGATATTTATGACGTGTCGGTTTATTTCTGTTTCATGGGCTTTTGTCTTTCTCTCCTGCTTTGCTGGATGCATAGCCTGAATGCATCGAGGGGTGGCACTAATGGCAAGCCACCACATCCTGTGTTGCACAGACCTTTAGCCTACCTGAGGTCTTCTACATCTACTCCCAATTTTTTTAAGTATTTAAAGGCTAGCTCCAGTGGAAGGGAGAGTGGGCGGATTCTAAAGAGAAGGTGAGATGCTCTGTCTCAAGCAATCCTTGGATACGGAGGCATGAGTTGAACATTCCTGTTTGCATGCTGTCGTGCTTGTCATGATATCTTTAGAGATGTTTTTGTGCTGTATGGCATGCCCCTTGTGATGTACCACAAGATTAATTCAGTAGAACAATAAGTCACATTGCTGTTTCAGGCATGCTCGTAATTCTGGATAAGTAAATTTAAGCACTCATCTATCTTGGTGTTCAGTGTTGGCTTGGATTTTGTCCCGTTGTTTATTAATAAAACGTTTAATGTTGACAGGTAGAACTGAATGCCCTAAAATAGTTGTTTCCCCATAGTTTGCAATTACGTCTCTTCTCTAGTTTTTGTTTTGTTAAAACCCATAGTTCAGGAGATTTCACTTCGCTTCTCCTCCACCCAATTTCTTTTTCCTTCATTTTTAAAGTTCTCATTTAATGAGTGGTTGTTGCCAAAACAACAGACTCAGACCACCACACAGGCATAGATTGTTCTCTTCTGGGCAAAGGTTTTCTGCATTAAATAAGGTTGCTCTCTGGTTCTTTGTGAGTAAAGGCTCCCAAACCGCCCACAGCTTTCCACAAAAACGCAATTTCAATCCCTCAATAAATTTTTGATTAGTACACAGGGTGGGGGGGAGAGGAAGGAAATTCACCCTCTTGCAGTCAAGCAGTCCTCCTCTGAGTTTGGGACTTAAGCACATTGTTGGTGGGTTGTTGAAGGAGCATTGCTCTCAGTCTGGCTTTACTCTATTTGATTGATCCTGGGTGCCCAGAGTAGAACTTGTTCAATTCCCCAGAATTTGAATAAGATACTTATTTGCCCCCAAGGATAACACAATCTTAAGACTTAACCCCCTACCATCATGCCCGCTCCCTCCACTCAGCGAGCTCCGGCTTGCTTTAAGTGCCCCGCCTCACCTGCCACAATATTGGCGGGCGGGCCTTCAGCCACTCTGCCCCACCCTCTGGAACTCCATCCCGCAGTCCCTCTGCCTCGCCCCCTCTCTTGCCTCCTTCAAGACCCACCTCTTCACCGATGCTTTCGATCATCCTCCTTCCCCCACCTGCCCTCCACCCTCCCCAATCCCGACCCCCAGCTCGGGTCTGAAACACTGTTTGTCCAGCGCCTTGGGACGTCCTCCCGACGTAAAAGGCGCTAAACAAATGTCATTTTGTTGTTGTTGATCTTAAGAAGTTGAAGTACATTGTTGCTATCTTTCTTTGTGAGAGTTATTTTGTTGCAACATATCAGTCTAGAATTCAAATTTTAATCGATCAGTGTGTTGTCTGAATCTTTGTAAGTTCCTGATCAGTTACACCATGAATATTTGCTTGCATTAACATGAACTCTTTCTGTTCTCCTTAACATTTCTTAGCAAAATAACATGCCTTTTCTATCTTTTGTATCAGAAAAGAATCTACTGGAGAACCAATTTACTTGAGATAACAGCAAAAAGAATGTGGTTCTTTTTCCTATTATAATAATTATTATTCTTGCATTTAATATAGTGATTTTCATGTCTTCGAGACGTCTCAAAGCGCTTCACAGAACAGACTGTAAAGTGAATTGACTGTATATTTGTGGGCAAAACGCGGCAACTAATTGCGCACAGCAATGTCCCACAAACAGACATGGATTGAGTGATCAATCAGGCAGGTCATTCCTGTGCCAGTCTGGTTAACATGCCTGTTTGGTCCTGTGAAAAATGTATGGGATCTCACCAATTGTCCACTGACTAATTCACAACTGAGGATGGCAAGCTCTGTTTGGCAAACTTGTGGCCTGCTTCGCATACCTCCCACTCCAACCCACCATCAGCAGCTGAGCCTTCAGCCACTGCACCTCAACCCCATACAACTCCCTCCCTAAATCCCTCTGCCTTTTTCTACCCCTTCCCGCTATCTGTCTTTAAAAACCTATCTACAGTCACCACCCTCCCTACTCTGTAAACGCTTTGAGATGTTCTCTATATGGAAGGCACTGTATAATTTTTTTACCCACAAAATACACAGTCGCTGCACTTTTACATTAAATCCTATGAAGCGCTTTGAGACATTTCCATTAGCTATATTGAATGCAAAGATTATCATTAAAAGCAAGTTACTGTTGTAGCAGAAACACTTAATCTTCCGAGACCTAGTGCTGAGGTGAATTCCAATATTGGTTGTGCCTGCTGTGCATCCCTCCCCCTCCGCCCCCACGCTCAGCAGCAGAGCCTCCAGCCACTGCTCCCCTACCTCAAGCAGCTCATAAGTAATATGTATAGAAAACAAAAAGTTCAGAATTTAGTTTTTGAGTTTGAACTAGTAATGTCACTCAAGACAATTTATATGATGATAAATAATTATCTGTACATTTAGCACATATCCTGTTGGATATCTTAAAGCGCTTTACAGGATGCAGTGTAAAGTGTAGTGATTGTATTTTGGAGCCAGTCCTTTTGTTGAAACGGTTAACAAAGTACCTCAACTCAATAAATATTTTGTGTAATATTTTGCTAAGGGATGTTCTGTAAATTTCTGATTCTCAATGCTTTTGCAAACTGCAGATACTATTCTTAAATAAATTCTCTGCACCATGTTTTTCTTTCCGACCCTATGCTCAGTGCCTCTCATCTTACTGGCCTCCGAGCAAGGCTTCCATCTTCCTCTTCTCCGTCAAACTTTCTGAAATTTCTGGTTCCTGTAGTTGAGAATCACAGCGCCAGAAGGTAGGAATAATGCGCTACTGGCTTACGTCATTATTGAGCAGAACTATCACTTAAATTCTCTGCTTGTATCATTATTCTTTTTGGCTGTGTTAAAAAGAGTTTCTGCTTGTGGGTCAGACAGCAGGGTAATGCTGACTGAGTTTGGTTGGTGTCATGAGAAGAGGCACAAACACTCTGTTCTGTTTGGAGGCTTTGGCCAGTTTCAAGCCAATCGACCAATCTACAGTTAACACAGCACACGTGATCTGAACCTGTGCCTTCATAGGAAGAAGTCTAATACTTGTGGCTTATGAATGGCTGTGATGTTTTTGAGATATCAACATACTACGTAAAAGCCACTAATTGCACCTAATAAATTAACTGCCGAGTGCCAATTTAGAAAAATTTGGCAGAAAATCTTAATTCAGTTACAGCTTCAAGTATTGGGAAAGAGGAACAGGAGGAGGCCGATCAAGCCTGTTCAACCAGTTGTTACATCTTGGTAGATCTTTAACCCAGTGTCCAACCCTGTCACCATAACCCTCTATACTTCTACTACCCAAGTACCCAACAACCCTTTGTGAAGAAATACTTCCTGACCTCAGTTCTAACTGTCTTGGCTCTAATTTTAAGGCATCCTTGTCATGGATGCTGACACCAAGGGCAAGAGTTGTCCACTATCTAACCTGTTGATTGCTTTCATTATTATAAATATCTTGATAAAATCACCCCTTATCCTCCTCTAAGGAATATAAGCTGCCTACCAAGCCTGTCATCATGGCTAAGCTCCCCTCTCGACTCTCTACCCCCTCCTCGCTCCCTCCCTTCCCTCCCCCTGACCATTTCCCCCCTGCTCGGGTCCTGACCCAACTGTACAGCGCCTTGGGACGTCCTCCCGACGTGAAAGGCGCTCAATAAATGGAATCTTGTTGTTGTTGTTGTAAGCCCCTTCAGCCCAGGAAATAGTATAGTGAACATCATTGAACACTGCTCAGGGCAAGTATATCTTTCCTAAGATTGAGAACCAACTACTGAACACAGTACTGTACTTCAAACAAGATCAGAACAACGCTTCACATCACCACAGAAGAACTTCCTTAGTTTTATATTCCAGGCCTTTTGTAATAAATGCAGCATCCCATTGCCTTATTGTTTGCTTTCTGTACTTGTAAATTAGATTTTAATGATCTATGGATTTGAGCCCTAGCATCACTTGTTGTCAAGGTTATTACAGTATTGTATTTTAGGTGACCATTTGGTTATTTTCTTAACTGCAGTGATTATGAATCCAGGCCAACCCCAGGCAGAGGAAGAAACTGTGATGGAAATGTGCCCCGTGTCCGTCGACATTCCTGGCGTCAGCAAATCTTTCTGCGGGTGGCTTCACCTCAGAAAGGGTGTGAGTCATCCTGCCGGTATGATGGTAAGAGACAAGTTAGCACTTGAGTACAATATCACATGTTCACTTTGGTCCCATTAAAGTCTTTTATACTTTTTATTATTGGCTTATCCCTTAATGTTTTATAGGAATCCATTGATAAACTACTAACTGAATAGTTCCAAAAGAGCAATGGGATCTTATTTTACAAGATTCCCAAAATATCATATACTGCTCTTATTTGATATGTCTAAGACTGATTGAATCTCTGCTGAGACCCTATTGCCACCTGGGAGAATTGTTTGGCCTCGATCCAACTGCACAAAATCGCATTTTGCATTTCCAGCCTAATTTCCTATAAAATATCAATTTGAATTACTATCCATGTTGTTCTTTGGAAGTGGGTTATGAGAGGTGATAACATGAGAGGTCATCACAACTAACTGGAAATGGTGCTGCACACCAATATTTTACTTACACATGAACTATACTGAAACGCTTGACATCAGCAGCACTTCCTGTGCGTAGTGCACAGGGATTAATGGTGGCGACTTCATCACCACATCTTTTTATAAGCGTGTGAAGATGGCTTGATGGGGAAGCTTGCAGGAGGTGACAGCACAGTGGCCAGTTTGGCTTTGTGAGCAGTTATAACACGGTTTGGTTTTATGGACATGAAACAATGTGTAATAATTGAGTCCTATTGTAAAGTATGTGCTTGAGAGCAATCGTGAATTTCAGTTATCTGAGGAACCATTTCGACCAGGTTTCTGTATGCCACAATAATAATTCCTATCAAAAGCTGAATGTACCAATGCTGTACTGTATTCACTAGAAATGTAAACTGGTATCACATTTTCTACAGAAATTTTATTACTGATCTGATTTTTGGGGGCAATATTAAACTCCCTAGTGGTAGGACAGATGCGTGTGTGCGCATCGAGTAACTTGATTAGAATGAGGCTTTTTTATACACATCCCTCGCTTGTGTTCAAATCCTCGACTGTCCAGCGTCTTGTGAAGTTCTCCTGATATCATATGATATGAAAATGTCATTTGTTGTATGTGACTAAGAAAATCTAAAATTTATGATTTAGGAGCTCTTCTACTCGTAACCTCTTGATGGCAGTAGAGTTTTATCCTTCAGTTTGTGGAGATTGCTGTAATACCACTGTGGAGTCTTGTAACTCAGTAGTTAGAGCACTCGCCTCGCAAGCAAGAGACTTGAGTTCAATTCCCAGCAGGGCAAACTCTTGGGCAAGTTTCCTTACTCCGCATGCTTGATAATAATCCTTCAAGAAAAAAAACAATAAATTGGTCACTTCAATCCACAACTGTTTTTGGGACACTGCTGTGCACAATTGGCTGCCACGTTTCACCCACAACTATACAGTCAATTTACTGTATGATATATTCTGTGAAGTGCTTTGAAATGTCTAGAAGACATGAAAAGCGTTATATCAGATGCAAAGATTCTTATTACCATTGGGAAATGTTTTGTTTTTAGACTCTGTTGAATTTTACTCGTAACCTTTTGTTGGCTCGTCTGTACAGTATGTGTAATCAATGACTACTTTTTTCATTCATTTCACGTTGCAAATAGATCCGTGGATTCACGAGTCCCGTAGAGCAATGTTTCCCAACCTTTTTGATGCCAGGGACTGTCTTTCTCAATTTGTGACAAACCATTGATAGATGAGCCTGTTAGTTCACAAAATCTAAAGAGATCTCTAATATGCACTAGTCATGAGGTTACCATTCCTTGTGATCAGCTGGATGTCTTGACACATACTGTTTGCTTAAGCTTAAAGAAAATTATTCGGAAGTTCCACACAATCATGGAAATTTTTGTGTGTCTGGAATGGATTGTACACTCTCACTCTCTTCCTGGAGGGACCCATTCCTGCTCACATAATCCAGGAGTATATTGGGGATCTCAGAGTATCCATTGGGGAACGACTCGAGTTTAACCAGCTAAAACCATGGACTGGAAAGTGCCATTGAGAAACATTGCCAGAAACTGAAGAGAATAAAAACTTAATTGAGCTTTACTGAGCAGTGACGATATCTGGGATGGTATTAGTGGCCAAGTTCTTGAAACTAGATTTTTTTTCTAGTTGAACAGTGTTACCTTAATACTCACAAATGTCAGCAGGAATGTTACTTTGAATTATAAACTCAAAGCAATACCTTTATCTTATGTTCAAAGAATGGACTGCGGTATATTTCTAATACCCATTGTGTAGAAAAGAATAGCTTCCTGTAAAAGAATGGAGCAATTGAAAGGATGAACATTCAGCTTTGCTTAATACCCTGCTAATCATTTTGCTATTAATGTTAGGAAGGTCCAGTTTTTTAATCTACAAGATATATAAAGATTTTCATGAATATTGTTTCAGAACGTACAAAGAAAATCCTAGGTAAGGAGCTATTTCCATTCCTCCCATCCAATTTTGTCTCTTTGCCCCCCCCCCCCCCACCGCCCCTCAATGAGATAAGTTTATGATCATCCGCATGAGTTGGGGGGAAGGGTGGGGAGCAGGAATAATGTGGTAGGTAGTCAAGCTGTGTTAGTGAATGGAGAGTGGTGCTTTCAGTTAGTGTGTGATGGACTTGGTCATATCTGAGCCAGGCACTTCTGTAATGTTCCAGGCCACTGAACATAAAAACGCTGTGGACGGTTAATGAGCCTGTGTGGGTCATGAATGGGGGGAGGGGAGGGTCAAGAATGGAGGTATCAACCTGTTACTGGAACCCGGATTCCTCTCGTTCCTCCCCTGGTAACCCAGATAACTTTGTGAGCTTTTCAGTGATGAACGTAGCTGTATTGACAGCACAGGCAATGTTAGGCACATGCAACCCGTGCAATTGCATGGGGTCCCGCTTCTGCTTCCACCTTCGCTTCTGCTCACCTTTCTGTGTTCTCCCGAGATGAACAACCAGAGATGAGATAGTTTCTTTCAGCAGCTTTCAATGGGTTTGCATTCTCAGAATCTGATGAATAAAAATTCTGCTTCTGTGAGTTCCTCTGAGAATCTCCATCAGTGTTTGTGCTGCACATGGTATTGATGAATTCTTGAGGCAGTCTTGCTGGAGACTTAATCCTGACGCTCACTGAGGGATGGTTTTTGAGCAGGGTGCCCATTTCTGCTGCTTCTAAAGTACAAATACCCTAAAGCCCTGACTGGCCAGACGAATGGGTGGAGGGGGTCCAGTTCAGTCCAGTCCAACACGCAGGAATTTCCAGCGACATGTAATTACAATGCCAGTGCAACAATTTTTCAGTGCTGGCTTTTTCAGTGCTAAATAATGCTAGTAAATGCCAAATCATCTATTTTCTGCTCGTGGGATTCAAACTGAGTCAATATCCTGTAGGTCAGAAAGCACTGAGGTGAGGCGGGGGTGGGCAATAGGAGAGTTGGGCCAGCAGGAATCGACACACGGACCACGGTAATTTTTTTACATTTTTTGCTTTCGGACTGTTCTGACGGGGCGGCGGGGTGGGGGGGAAGGAGAAAGGCAAAAGAAGGGTTTTGGAAGGAGTTTTCTACCTATGATTGACGCCCAGCTGATCAAACATTATGTGGGATCACAGAGCATCTGTGATCAGTGTGGTTTTCTTTAATTCATTCCTGTAATTTCACGTTAGAATAGTCGTGTGGGGTACATAAAGCAAAGTGAGCTTGAAGGTGCTAGCTGCCAGAAATCTAACATCCTGATTCAGAAGGAGGAAAGAAAATTAATTGAGCTGCTGGTTAACTATCTATGCCTGCAATATACTGCTGCAGATCACCAAGTGCATTAAAACACATGACTATTGCTTGTCAAAATGCAGATAAAACATTTGGATGAGTTGAGCTGTTTGTTCCACTTCTATCTCGCATGTCTTACTCTATTTAGAAAATGGGAGGTGGGTGTGGTGGTAGTTAGCAGTAATATATGCATGTATTATGATTACCAAGGATTAGGGTTAGCATCTGCACAATATATGCTGCTTTTCAATTTGGAATCCACCTAAGGGCAGATTCTCCTAAAATAGTTAATTGTTTTGCCAAAACATGTCAGTCTTCAATTAACTTTGTGAACCACCCAGCTACCTGAACATATCCTGCAGCACTATGGAGGTGAAAACCTTGGCTATCAGGTTTGGGAGTGGAAGAACCAAATGCGAGTAGCAATTCTAAACCAAAAAAGCAGGTGTATGTATTTGATTTAATGCTGCACGTCAGCATGATTCTCAATCCCTGTTAATGCCCAGCATTGTTTCTGAATAGTGTTTTAAAAAATATTGGCACCTTATGGTGTTGAGATGTCTCAAAGCATTTCACAGGATATATTGTGAAGTGGTAGGAATATGTATTTTGTGGCAGAACGTGCACAGCACCAATTTAACACACACAGCCACGTTGGCCAAGGTACAGAAGAAACTTATTTCTCTTTTTAAACAGTGCCAGGGGATTTTTAACGTCCACTTGGACAGGCAGACGGAACCTAGCTAAATGTTTCATCCGAAGGATGGCATCTATGACAGTGCAGCACATTCCCAGCACAGCAGAGACTATATGCTTCCAAATCCCAGCGTGAGGCTATGAACCTTCTGACTCAGAGGCGAGAGGGCTACCGACAGAGCCAGTTGACACATTTTTGTAGAAGGCATGAAAAATCTGGGACTGGAGATATTTTTCTACAGTTCAGTATTCAACACCAGAAATGAGTTTGTGGGTTAGTAACAGCTGTCCTGCGCTGGTGGCGGTGCTGCCATGTTAAATTGTCAGTGTTAATGTGCGGGAAGTTTTGCATTTTTAAAAAATATTGATTTTTGTGAGAATTGATGTCTTTGAGGAGAAATGTAATGTGAAGACCCAGCTCGCGATTGGGAGTGGTCAGAGTTTATATTTAATTCAAGGAACTCAATAGCTGATTATCCTGTTTACTTATGCTTGGTTTGTTCTGTGGTTTACAATGCTGTGCTCCACCCTGATGAATTGTAACGAAATAGCAAGTAGAGAAAGGTTCTTGCCTACTTCATTAATGTCATGTTTGTT